TATCTGGCTGTAATACTGTTAAATGCTTGCTTTGATGCTGTCTCTTTATGCTGCCTGCCTACTTCACAGCATGTTGTTTTAAAGCAGCAAACTACCCATTGATGTGAAAATATTGTGGAGTCTTTGATGCTCAACTGGCACACAGAAAATGACCATAAATCTGTCATCAAAATAGGACCTTTTGCATTATAAGTTTGTGGGATTTTTTTTTCCCAAAAGCTAACTGTAGTTTAAATGAATTCATTAGGTTTTGATGTACTTTTATTCTTTATGGAACAGCTACCCATCACCACCTGTATTATTCAAAGCACTTTTTTTGACAAAGAAGCAATAGTGGGATGCTAGCCATAAGAAGGCAGGTGAGCTGAAAGGCAACCAAGTGCACTAAAATAACTTCTGGCTGATGCGGGAAGGAAAAAGCAGTGTGTTTCATCAGCTGTGCCTTATAAGGTGGACACAAAATGTGTGCTGAGTTGTCTCCTTCCTTTTCACTGTTATATATCCTTTCCATGTTAAAGTGCCACCATCCCTTCAGCTGAGGCTATCTGCTAGTAAGAGTCCACTTGCTTAAATAGCTCTGCAAATCTGAGATGTGAAGAAGAGGCAGCACTTCCCACAGTAGCGCAGAAGCCTTGAGAGATCCAAGCACATCACTATCCTCACGTGGGAGCCTGGTGAACCTGCTACTGCAGGTATAACTGATGAGTACGAAATGCCAAACATGCTAAGACTTGTGCCTGTGCCTCCCATGTGTAGCTGCTCTATGCTTGCAATGGCCATGCTTCCACTTTACTTCCTTCAGTCAGCTCTTGCAAACTGGACCTAGTGGCTTCAGTACTGATTGAGAAGTCTGGGAATACAGCCTAACTTTCTACCCTTGACCCAGATTTTCTCTGTGGCTGCAGGCTTGTCTCTGAGATTCAAGTACTTTAAGTATTCTGGGACTTGGGAGAATCTGAGCCCAGTCTTGCACGAGGGGAAAAACAGCTATTGTCTTCCTTTGCTTCTCTAGTACACATTTTGTAATGCTTCCTGCCACAGGGTGAATCAGCTGAAAGTGACTCCCCTTTTCACTGAGAGAAACTCACAACATTTGCCATTCTCTTCTGCTTGCCAGCAGACATTAACTAATGCTACTGGAGACTGCCTTTTCCTGTTCCCTTTGATATGTACTCTGCCTGTGCTCCTGCAGCCTCCCGGAGGAGGACAACGCACAGACACATGTTGATTTAGCTTTGACTGTTATATGACAGATTCAAGTGTTCAGACTACTTGACTAGCTCCAGATGCAGTGGCTGGCTCCTATTAACTATGTTATCTGCGGATGATCAGCGTGGTATGGGATTGAGTGGCCTGCCTTGTTGAGCTTCTATGAGATAGCAACAACACACATACAGCAAAAAAAGTTGAAGTTTCTTTGCGATTCTGTACTGCTCTTGCTGTAAGCTGCTCCTCCCTGAGCTTGACTCATCTTTACAGGTAGCTGCACAGACTATGACCTTCTATTTCCCTAAGCAGATTTTGGTAGACAACTGCTCTTTTGTTGTGTGGGCATAAAGGACATTGCAGAAATGATGTGACATTTCTTTTTCTGTTTTGGTTCTAAGGATTCAAACACAGCAAAACCTTCACAATGTTTCCAGCGGAGAAAATAGAAATGATTCTATGCTCAGAAGCAGAGTGGCTTCTATTTTACTAGGATGAGTGCTGAGTTCTTGATTCTGGCAAAAGCTCTTTAAACTTTACGTGATAATGGAGAAAAGAATCTAGTTCTGCACAGCCTATTTACCAATAGTGCTTTCTGGGAGCAAAGAATGGTCCAAATCTCTCTCTTTTTGCCTTTTTGCACACTGCTCTTTCATGTAAGAGCATTATCCATGTATTGCTATAGATCTCTCTGCTCTCCTGCTTTACATTTCCATCAGACTGGGAGCTGCAATATCAAGTGATGCCAGTCTGTAGGATTCTTAAGATATTTGCTTTTTTGCTTCCATAGAAGACAAATTATTTGAAAATGATTGCTTGATTTTTGTTGTCATTTGTTTAGATTCGTGAGAGAACCTTTAGCATTGCAGTAAATACCCTCCCTAGTGCTCAGAGACAGGGAGTGTTTTGCTTCTTATGTCAACAGCTTTGCTAAATAACTTCCAGCACAACTGGAACAGTTGTTTAAGCAAACTGGAAAGTCTGCACTCCTGGCACCACTTGAGAAGGCGAACAGTTGCAACCCAGAAACCCTACAGAAGGTTTGTAGGTGTTCAGAATGGCCAGGTGCTCCCTCAGAGTGATTGACAGAGGCCTTATTTAGAGATTATTCAGCAGAGAATAGGTCTATTTTGAAGTATAGTTTCATTCAAATATAATCCTTTCCTGAGAGGAAAGGACAACTTCGGATTGTGTGCTAAAGATGCAGTATAGTTAGACTTATATGCTTGAAATAACCAGATTGTGGTAGTTAATTAAAATAAATAAATACATGGAAAACATCATGTATTTTTTGTGGATTTTTAAATTTATAATGACTTTTTTTTAAAGGTTTTATTCTGTGGGGTGGGTAGTTGTAGACAATCAGCTTGATTTGTTAGATCTGTGGATGTACATGGTCACATTGCTGTGCATCTAACCACAAAGTGACAGAAGAAGCAAAAAGATGCAGTAGATCTCTGGGAGTCATAATAATGTTTCTGTTTGTTATCTGCATTACCATTTCAGTCGCCTTGGCTGATGACACAGCGCTGCTAATTTAATGACTGCTACATAGATGTAAAATGGGAATTAAACAATAATCACAGAATCACAGAATCGTAGGGGTTGGAAGGGACCTCCAGAGATCATCTTGTCCAACCCCCCTGCCAAAGCAGGATCCCTACACCAGGTCGCACAGGTAGGTGTCCAGGTGGGTCTTGAATATCTCCAGAGAAGGAGACTCCACAACCTCCCTGGGCAGCCTGTTCCAGTGCTCCGTCACCCTCACCGTAAAGAAGATCTTGCGCACATTGGTGCGGAACTTCCTATGCTCCAGCTTCTGGCCATTTCCCCTTGTCCTGTCTCTGCACACTGTTGAAAAGAGTCTGGCCTCGCCACTTTGCCCCCCACACCTTAGATATTTATAGACCTGGATCAGGTCCCCTCTCAGTCTTCTCAAGGCTAAACAGACCCAGATCACTTAGCCTTTCTTCATAGGGGAGATGCTCCAGGCCCTTCACCATCTTTGTGGCTCTCCACTGGACTCTTTCCAAGAGATCCCTGTCTTTTTTGTACTGAGGAGCCCAGAACTGGACACAGTACTCCAGATGAGGAGCTATTAGAGCTATTATTATAGCTAATAAATTTGGACTTTATGTTGAATTTAGGTTTTTTTTTTTTTTTTTTTTTTGAAAGAACTCGAGAAATGAGCTCTTCTGTTTATTCAGGGAAGAAGCAAAAGACATCACACCAGTCTGTCCTTTGTGATCTCTTTGAAGAGAGTAAATGGTCACAAGTAAATGCGTATTCCTGCTAAGACAACTATATTAGGTTAGAAAGAGATGTCACTGAAGAGGTCAGTGTGGGTGGTCTGAACTCAGTTCTGAGCATCAGCTTGTGACTTTTAGTTCTGGAGGAAATGTTTTCAAAGTGAATCCTACAGTAACAGGAGTGTCAAACCCCTCAAAAGGACTGTCCTTATTTTCTGTAGCACAGCAGAGGACAGTGGCTCTTAAGACAATCAGTTTCAAAAATACAGTACCTTGATTTGTAGGTTCTTCGGGATAAGCCTGACCTGGGGCTGAGTCCCTGGTTCAGCCGGCTTTAGGCTCCTTGTCTTTGCTCCACAAAGTTCCCTTCCTGCACACATGCATGGTGGGGTAAAACAAGGCTTAATTCAGTGTCACTGCCTGGCTTTTTAATAGATCTTAAGCTGACACAAACTAATATTAAATTTCTATTTTAATAATGTGGCTATCTTCCAGCTCCTATGTTGCTTTGACAGTAAAGTAATTAGGACAGATTGTGATTGAATAGACAACTACTGACTGGGAGTGTGAATAGAGTTACCAGCGCCCTCCTCTCCTAGCACAGTTCCCAAAAATCAATTGGTTGATAATGACTTCCCCTCCCTAATAACCCTAACCAAATTTCAACCAGGATCCAAGGATTCATGGTCTTTTAAAATTCGCCGACTTACCTCATCCACACATTTAATTTCACTTTACTGCCTGACAAAATATTTTTTCAAAGAAAATTTAATTGAAATGAAAAAAACACATACAGTTGTACAGTCCAGTGTAATAACATCAAAAGCATGCTAGAATTGGGAATCCTTCTGTTGTGCCGCAGTTGTCCCTGTTTGTGTTGCTATTTGATGGTTTTTTGGTAGGGTCAAGTAAAGCAATTTCTTCTATTGCCCCTTGAGCTGTATTAGGTTTTGCATCCTAGTTTCAAGTCCATAAGCTGGATGTTGCACTTTACATAGCTTATGTATCATTTTTTGCATTAGTGTGTTTCCTTGCATATTCATAGACATTTATGCTTTTGGGGAAGGCAGGGATTTTTATGGAATTGATGGTAACAATGCTGTCCCAGGAAATGAAATAATTACTGATCTGAGGTGGTTCTGCAGTATCACCAGTACTGGTAAATAATTAAAATTACTTTCTTCTGTACATAATCCTTTCTTCTATGCATAACTAGTTTTAAGGCGACTTCATTTACTTTCTTTCAGTAGTTTCATCCTGTGCTGTTCTTACCCTGCATTATTCATGCACAACCTTGCAAATTGCTTCTACTTCTAACAGTACTCTTATAAATCATAGGGTCTTTTTCTCTGGAGGACTTCAGCCTTAAGCTCCCCAGCTTGTTTTCAGATGAAAACTGTGTTCAATTAAGATGATTTGTTTGCTGCACAAAAATTTAAGTATCTCATACTGTCATTTATAGTGAAGGAAAACTGAGATAATATAAACACAGCATGAGAATTTCATAGGTTTTCTGCCTTTACCCTCCACCTATCTCTTTTCCAGACATTTCCAACTGAGACACAGTCTGCTGGAAGAGGACTGTGATAACAGTGCTACCAACAGCATAGACTGAGAGGCGATCTGCATTAGTAAATGACTGAATAATATCACCATTCAGAGTTGCTTGTCTTATTCTATTCATAGAAGTGAAGAAAAGACTAAGTTACATCTCACATATGGTGGCTTGTAGTTATACTTCTGAATAATGATCTTGTTTTTAAAACTGCCTTCTAGACCCTAATCACAACAGGTAGACTTTGGAGCAGAAAAAAAGTCCTTCTCTAATATTTTTGACCTAGAAGGGAAAAATTAAAATAAAACAGAATATTCCTGACATAGCCCTGCTGCATGGGAGCCTTTTCAACTAGTACTATTCGGGTTACCAAAAAGGAATCTAAAGATGTTTTTTATTCAAACCTTTAGAATTTTATCAACTTCTCTCATGGCGCCATGCATGCACACCTCTTGCTTTTCATGCTGTGGTTAAATTTAATCTGTTGTCCTTATCTTTGCTCCATTTATACCAAGGCAAATAATTGCTCTGTATCAGGAAACAGAGAGTCTGTCCAGAACATCTTCTTGGATTGATCTTCCACCATGAAAGCATGATTTCAGGGCCGGTTCCTCATAATGCTGAAGGGCAATGCATGAATCCTTATTTTTTTCATACTTAAAAATGTTCAGATCTTGCCCAAGATAACCTGGTTGCTGTTTTCCTTTTATGGAAATTTTGTTTTCAGACTTTCTTTACCGTTCACTGAGGTTTTGTTTATTTTTTCTTCATTTCTTTATTATACTCCAGTATTTGCCATTAAAAATCATAATTGAGGGAAATTCACAGGATGAGAGAAATTTGTTATATCCCAATGGAAGAAGTAGTATACACGATTTATATCAAGTCCTTCCAAGCAAGTGTCATTAGAAATGATTTCAAATTAGATTACTTTTTCTCAGAAAGCAATTATATGCGATAATGTATGAAACACTGACTTGAGTTAATCATATATGATACTAATTTTAAAAATAGAGTAGGCTTTGACTTTTGTTATTCATATTAATTGAAACATGTTTCCTGTGACTCAGTTAAATTTTAATTGCTGTGCAACAGATATGCTCTGCTTAATGCCACAGTGGCTTTTTATGGGAGAGTGAAAGCACTAAATGTATTTGTATCTGTTGAATATTGTCAGTTTTCTTACAAAGCAATGGCATTACCAGAGCTATTCTGATCTTGTATTTTATTTCTGGTTAAATCAAAAAGGCAAATAGATGAACAGGAATCCTTTGGCTATGAATATCTTGTTGGATTGGCAAACAACCTGCAGTGTGAGATAAACAAAATTCCTGTCTTCATACAATCAGTAAGATGTGTCTTGTCCTGCATGGAAGTAGACCCAGAGTCAGAGCTTTGGATAAGACCTGCTACAGTTGCTTCTTTCACAGAATCACAGAATTGCCAGTGTTGGAAGGGACCTCAAGGATCATGAATCTTCAACCCCCCTGCCACAGGCAGGGCCACCAACCTCCTCATTTAATGCTAGACCAGGCTGCCCAGGGCCCCATCCAATCTGGCCTTGAACACCTCCAGGGACGGGGCATCCACAACCTCTCTGGGCAGCCTGTTCCAGTACCTCACCGCTCTCTCTGTAAAGAATTTCCCCCTGATGTCCAACCTAAATCTCCCCTCCTTCAACTTGAAACCATTTCCCCTCGTCCAGCTGTTATCTACCTTTCAAAGAGTTGATTCCCCTCCCCTCTGTAGGCTCCTTTTAGGTATTGAAATGCTGCAGTAAGGTCACCCCGCAGCCTTCTTTTCTCCAGGCTGAACAAGCCCAGCTCTTTCAGCCTGTCCTCATAGGGAAGGTGCTCCAGTCCCCTGATCATCTTTGTGGCCCTCCTCTGGACCCTCTCCAACAGCTCCCTGTCTTTTTTGTACTGGGGGCTCCACACTTGGACGCAGTACTCCAGATGGGGCCTCACAAGAGCAGAGTAGAGGGGAACAATCACCTCCCTGTCCCTGCTGGCCACCCCTCTTTTGAAGGAGCCCAGGATACCATTTGCCTTCTGAGCCGCAAGGGCATACTGCTGGCTCATGTTAAGTTTTTCATCCATCAAGACCCCCAGGTCCTTCTCCACAGGGCTGTTCTCAAGAACCACTCCTTCTAGTCTGTATGGATGCCTGGGATTCCTCCAGCCCAAGTGCAGAACTCTGCACTTTGCCATGTTGAACCTCATCAGGTTCACCCGGGCACACCTTTCTAGCCTCTCAAGGTCCCTCTGAATGGCATCCCTTCCTTCAACCTGATTTGCCAGTGACTTGGAATTTAATACTCCCAATATCTGAGCCTGGGAGTGGCCCTAACTATTATAAAAAATCTCTAAGGTTGAAAAAGACCTCAAAGATTATCCAGTCTAACTCTCTACTTTCCACTAATATTGCCCACTAAACTATGTCCCTCAGTACCGTGTCTACATGTTTCTTGAACACGTCCAGGGATAGTGACTCCACTACTTCCTTGGGCTGTTTGTTCCAGTGCATCACTACTATTTATGAGAAGAGACTGTATCCAACCTGAACTCCTCCTCATGCAACTTGAGGCCATTTGCCCTCTCACTCTATCACTTGCCTGGGAGATGAGGCAAACACCCACCTTGCTACAGCCTTCTTTCAGGAAGCTATGATAAGGTCTCCCCTGAGCCTCCTCTGCTTCAGACTGAACAATCCCAGTTCCCTCAGCCATTCCCTGTAAGACCTTCTGTGCTCCAAACCTTTCACAGCTTTGTTGCCCTTCTGTGGACTTGCTCCAGGCCTTGATGTCTTTCTTGCAGCAAAGGACTCAAAACTGAAAGCAATACTCTAGGTGTGGCCTCATCAGTGCTGAGTACAGAGGAATGGTAACCTCCCTGCTCCTGCACTATTTCTGACACAAGCCATCAGTGATCCCTCAGATTCATTGTTGTGTTTGCCTTGGGCTTGATAGATTGGTGAAATGAATCAGTAAACTCTGAAGGTTTTCACATCTTTGTTATATGCACCTTGTGGGATTTACTTTGGATTTCTCCTGTCCCTTTGGTCTAAATGTCCTGACTGAATAGTGGTTTGGATCTCTCTTGAGGAATGCTAGCTCATGAGTGTGCATTCTCTACCCACAAAACATAGTCTAGGCTTTTACATTTCTGTCTTGGAAAACATGAGAATAGAGAAGGGATGAAAGGAAAAAGAGCAGCTAGCAACAGTAAAAGAAACAGCATATGACACTGTGAAAAGGTGTGATGGGGACTGAAATCCAAATTACAAGAAGAGAGTTATGTTTTATGAGGCTGTGAGAAGTCTACAGAGCAACTAAGTCTTCCAGAAGGTGTAGAGAGCCTGTGGCATGAGAGAAATGAGGGCTGGATGGTCTTGAGATAAGGGTGAGAGGCAAAGGTTAGGAAATCTCCCATCTGCAAATGTGTAGGAGGGAGTGTCCTGAGGAGGCATTGCTATAGCTTGCCTTGGTTTTAACTTCTCATGTCACCTGCTGTTGGCGCCATCAGTAATAAAACAGAGTGTCTTGCCTGACATCTGGCCAGCTCAGATGAGTATTCTTCCATTTTCCCTTCACTTGATGCGATGAGATGAACGGGAACACAAGGTGGTGCAGAGGTGGCATTTGAATGCATCCTCAAGAGAAGAAGAAATGGACAACTGTGTCAGTGATTGGTGAGTTGGCAGCAAAGAAATGGGAACAAGTAAGGTGAGAAGATACGGAAGAGAGGCATTTATATCTGTATGTTTGGGAGCAGTGTTGCATCTCAGTGTAGGTGTTATGTACAGTTCAAAGTTGCAGTGCTGTGTACCATGGTATCCTCCCCATTCCATTTGCTGTGGTTCTTTGAGTTATGCTGTGTAAAGTCTTCCTGTTTTGCAAAAGCACCCAGTTTGCATGTGGGGAAATGAAAAGTGCAGCAAAATGACTTTTACAGCCATGACAGTTCCTGGATCATACTTATGCCTTTGTCCAATTGCATGGTGGACTTCAGCTAACAATAAAACCAAATCACAGCAAAGTTCACCACTGATATTGAATAAATGAACACATCACTTACATATTAAATTAAATCACTGATGCTTTTTGGAAAGGAACAAGAAAAGCAGTGGTGCACACAGCTCTGAGGCTGTTGAACTGTTCAAGTATGTGGCAGCCTGAGTTGCTTTAAGACCACTTGTTCATATTCAGTTTTCACACGTGTGCATATTAGATTATGATGGTAATGCAAATATCCAAATGAAAGAGGGTCAGTGATGTCAGGCAAAATGTGGCAAAATGGACAAACTGTGGAATGGAAGAGACCATTTGTTGTAAGATAACCATAGTCTAAGACTACGAATGTTGGGTGTTTGGGACTGGGAGGTGACAGAGAAGGTAAACCTGAAAAGAGATTGTTGGGGAAAAGTACTGGTGAAAGATAGGGCTTCAGCTAGTCTGTAGAAATAGCTATTGTGTGGCTAATAGAAAGGTAATAAAGGTCCTGTAATTAAACTTAAATTTGTACTAAACAAATGGAATTGCTGTTCTATCTTTCTGTAATGGTATATATGATAAGAGCTTAATCTGTACGCTGTGAAATTTGCCTCTTTAGATGAGTGGCTGTGTTTATGTATGTCTGTACGTGTGTTATCTCTGTGTGTTGACAGTCACTTCGTATTAATGTGACCAAAGCTGCCAAGCTCCAGCCATAAAACGGAGGAAAATCTGTAGGGTGCTAGCAGGCATTTGTAGAAAGATGAAGGTAGTTTCCATACAGCTAATTGGCTCTATAAATTTGTGTAGGAAATAAGAAGACAGTGGTGATTACTATTGAATGCATGAGAGTGTGTTTTATTACTAAAAAAAAAAAAAAAAGGAGGGAGGGTGAGAATATTATTTTCCCCTAAACTTCTTTTCAATGGAATTCTTACAATTTTAGGAGGATTTGGGGGTTGACTGCCCAGGATCCTCAGAGCCCTTCATTTGCCCCCCTCTCCCGTGGGATAGAGAGAAAACAGAAGGAAGGCAAGAGGACTTATGGATCAATATAGGGGAAGTTTAATAGGGAAAACAAAAAGTGCATGTTCATCTACCA